ATTGTATTGTATTGTATTGTATTACGCCACATTATTTTACATACTATATTGTTTCAAGGATTCTTTTTGTAGGCAGAGGAAATACCCTTTTTAAAAAATTTGCCACTTTCTTCATCTCGTCAATTTCAGAGGGCAGGAACAGAAATAAGACCTAATACGCCTTTTTTTACCCCAGACATCAACATCAACCCTTTTAACGGGCACTTTGTACACCCTTGCCTTGTTTCTTCTCTCTAAAATGAGTCGGGGAACGCAGGGGATTGAAAATGTTAACCTTTCCCATCTCCTTTCTGTTTATTAAGCGGGAGGGCACTCCTCAGTTTTAATATTGCCAAGTCATTCAGCCATCTATCTACTCCCAGGGAGGAAAAAAAAAGATTCTCCAAAAATATTTGCCTGCGCGCAACTATATGAATGCAAATACATTTCCCTCCTTACAGGCTGCTAAAGATGCTATATTTAAAGAGGGCAGATGTCTGAGTAATTTCACACATGCCACCAAGGTCTTTCACAGCCTGCGTGTCCTCGGTAAAATTAACCCAGCCCAGATTTTTTGCAGCAGCTTGGAAAAGACTTCATTAAGGCCTGAGGGTGGTTCTGCATTTTAAAAGGTTTCCCTGAGGAAGGGAAGGGAAGAGTTAGGGGGCAGAGATGGTGGTGGGGAAGGGTCCCCGTTGAAATTGGCAAGAGGAGTGGGAAAGGAGACCAGGCTGGCACAGCAGCGACCCCAAAGAAGCAGATCTGTATATGGGGGGGTGCATGCACGTGCAAGGGAAAAGAGGAAGGGTCACTGCAGCAAAAATGTGTCATGGAGCAAACGGTGGCGTGCAGAGAGGGACCACCGAAAAGAGACACGCCCTGCGTACCAAATCCAATTAATATGGAGGAGGAAAGGAGGTGGGCGGAAAAGATGGGGTGGAGGGTGGGCAAGGGGAAAGCGGTGAGGGGGAGGCAAGGAAGAAGAAACACCCAGGGTGGGGCAGCTCAATTTTTGCAAGGAGGAAAAAAGGGTCCTTTTTAATATTTTTCCCTAGCTATTCCTAATGGAGGAATAAGGTCCTGTGAGAACAAAAGAAATTCTGTTTTATTTACTGTACTGTGTATTTCAAGCCTGGCTTTCCTCTAAGGGGGCATAGTTATCGTACCTCCACAGCAACCCCATGAGGGAGGCGACTCAGCCAGTAAGCCAAGGGGAGATCCGAACCTGGCTCTCTCCAGGGGTTTTTCTACCCGGGGCTCACCATTCCCTGATCTCTACTGTAGATATTTTTCCCCCCAGAGTCTGTTGGTCACCCAGGAGGGACCTGCTCCAGGCCAGCCTTCTGCTAAATGTCCCCCTTCCCCCTGCTTTTCTTCCCAGGAAGAAATGAGGGACACGGTGAATTCCCAGTATGATTCTTTCCTTTACTGGAGAATGCCCATCCCAGAACTGGATCTCTCCGAACTGGAATGCCTGGGACTGGCCGACCTGGCCCTCTACAAGCCTAAACGGGTCTACGGCAGCCTAGCGCCCGACCAGAAGTCACAGAAGCCGAGTCTGGGTGACACAGAAGATGAGGAGAGTGCCCTTCTCCCGTTCAGCAGTTTTAATTTCTGGAGAGCCCCGATTGCAAGCATCAGCCCTGTAGATTTTGACCTCATCTGAAGACAAGGCACGACAGTGGTGTGACAAGAAGCAGCTAGTTTTTTTATTGCCCCCCAATTCTCCCAACTGCATTCTTTCTAGTGGTATTTTCTCCTCCGTTCCCTGAATTTTCCCGTAGTTTCTCTGTGCCTGTGTTCAAGCTTATGTTTCTTAATCATTTGCCATAAAACAAGGTGACTGTTCAAGTTGCTATGAATGTATTTGCCGAAAGACTGTATTTCCCCCATGGATCTGCCAGGGTCCAGGAGGGCTAGGAATAAACAGAGCATTTCTTTCAGTCACAGAAGGAACTCTAAGATCATCCTCCCCCTTTCTGTGCACAGGAACTGATCTGCCACCAGTGTTAGCAACTAGCAGCTTTGGGCCCAAATCCGGCCCACTAACATTTGGCCCATTCAGCTTTTCTCTGAGCTAGAGTCTCCTCCCAGGAGGAAAAGTGCACATTTTGCTTTAAAATCACCCCAAATTGAGAGGCTATGTGGGTGGGTGTAAGTTTTGTAGATCCTTCCCAAATTTGTCCTGGAAATGGAGGAGCACAAAAGTCAATGAAAACTGGAGGGGGGATGTGCAAAGATGACAACAGGGTTGTCCCTGTTATGGGGCAACGAAACAGGCCCAGCTCAGGTGCAGAATGTATTGCAGGGCCAGATTCAAGATTAAAATAGAAAAACAAGCGTTTTATGGGAGGAGTTCATATACTCTTTTCACAAGGATCTGAAAGATACCAAAGATTGATCGTGTATCACACCTACCTCCCCCGCACCCCAGCACAAGTCTTGGCAAAGTGCAAATGTGTGGATCCACAGGGTCCCTCACCTTCACAGCTGGGGGACCCAACGCTGGCTGGAGCTTAATATATCAGGAGTCCGGGGGGGGGGAGTAAAAAAAAAATTGGATCTTGGAAGGGAGAACTGTTTGCATCTTCGGTAAAACGGGAGTGCCCCCAGAAATGGAAAAGGTGCTGTAGGGTGTGAAACCGAAGGGGACCCAAATCATTCTACAGTTCAGATCCAGCTGCTTCACGGCCTACAAAGGTTCTCGAAATGGTCCCAGCTCGGGATGATTTGGAGACCTATGATGGCTTACTCTTTTTCTTTTCCAAAAGTAGGGAAATCCACGGGTTTGTTTCCCTCCTTACCTAAACTGACGCGATTCACACACCGCGATTCCTCTCAGAGTGATGTGCTCCAAGTTCAGCCCTGCCTTGAAATCAGTCCCGTCGCAATCCTAAGGGCCACCAGAAAGACGCCAAGTCTGAAGTTCTCAGCCTCAGATCCAACCGCATGCAAGGGGTTTTCCGTGGCAGCAAAAAAGCCTCAGGGCCACCCTCATGACTTGGCTCCGAGAACGTCCTTCGGTGCTCAGGCACGTGCGCATCGCCACGGCTCACCCGTGCACTCCCTTCACGCTTGACATATTAGGCGTGTTGTGCTTAGAAGGAGTCGCTCCCATCTTGGCTTCAGGTGGAAGGATGAAGGGAAGGGCTGGGAGGCTGAATTGGGAGGGTGGGTTGCACACGCAGACCCCGGTCCTCCTTTTCTTTCTTCCTCCGGCAAGGCATGAAATTGGCATTGTTTGGGCCACGTCCAAGCGAACAGGAGCTCTTGGCCATACCAACCAGGACTTAACTGAGCGGCTGCGTCCACACAAGCGAGGAGCCCTGTTTGGGCTCCCCTGGGCCGCTGTGTGTGGCAAACCCAGCCTGTTGGCTGCTGAGGCGGTGGCACCGTGGGGCGAAGGCAGACGCGTCGGGTGGGGACGCCACCCCGGCAGCCCTTTGTGCAGCTCTTCGGTCCTCGGGTCGGGTGGGGGCTGCTCGTCCTGCCAATAAAAGCAAATGAAGACACTTTGAGGCCTATGGGGAGCAGCTCTGCGGCAGGGGGCTGGCTGAGGGCGATGGGTGCAGTGGTCCCAGCCCTTTGGAAAGGGCCCGACCCCGAGAAGAGCATCTCTGACCGGGGCTGCAGCTCCCATGGCTGGGGATGATGGGAGTCATAGTCCAGCGGCTTGGGGGAAAGGAGCTTCGTTGGAGGGGCTCCCCAGGGCAAGGGGGATACACAGGATGATGGTTCTTGGGCTTCCACCCATGGGACATGGGTGCCCCCCCCCAAATTGGTGTCCCCCCCATACAATTTACACACACACACACGGGAATTTTAGGCAATTCGGGGCTGCTGGTGACATTTGGGGCCGGCCGGAGTGACGTCAACGCCCCGCTGACCCCAGAGGAGGCGCCCGAC